TCGAACTGGGCCGACTGTGATGATACCCTTCACCACTTTGGGTATATTGTACATATGTATCCTTACAATTGCATGTCAATGTTCCCACGAAGGAACATACTGAATCGATTTTCCCGAAACTTAGCACACATCATTCTAGACTCTATTCAGTACGCAATGCCAAATTTCGTGCAAATCGAAGAATATATAGGGACTTTGGTGCAAATCGCAGGATATATAGGGGCATTGGTGCACCATTTACATCAAATCGGACGAAAATATATATTGACGCTATATCTAAGTCTGAGCACGAAACTTAACGCACATCATTTTAGACTCAGTTCAGTACGCTATTCCAAATTTCAGGCAAATCGATACATATATAGGGACTTTGGTGCCATTTACAATGGACTTAAAAAGCTATGTCTAAATGCATTTTCCCAATTTCAAAAGTGCATATTCTTTGCCTGTTACAAACATATGCATAAATCGACTTAAAAAGTGACTTTATGTATATTCTCACAGTGTGGTCAAGGATATAAAAATTAATTTGTACTTTTTTACGCTCACCCATGTGGTGGGTATTAAAATATTATAAAATAGTAGAGACCATTATATGAAGACAATGTCATTGTAAAGTATCTGCTAGAAGGTTGTTTTTTTTTCCGAAAAATAAAATACTAAATTACAAACACTCAGGAAAACTGGACCTTCAAACTACCGAAAAATCGAATTTTGCGAATATTAACAATTTTATAAAAAATGGAATTTTCAAGACCCTTTGTTTGGGAGGTACACCAAATCTTGGTCCGATCTATCCAGTTTTTTGTCAGCAGCTTTATAGATTTAAATAGGTGTAAATTGTCATTCATATTAAAGATGATATAGGCCATAAGAGTGAAGTATTCAAAATCCATTATATGGGGGATATATAAATGTTGTTCCGATATATAGAATTTTTGTTAGTTGCTATACATTGCTAAATTTAATTGAAATCGGTTGAATATTATCGATTTTATAGTCAAAAAGTGTGAAATTCTCAAGAATCATTGTATGAGAGGTATACCAAATCTTGGCTCGATAAATGTATTTTTTTTTTAATTGCTCTTTAGGTCAATAATAATCCCTTCTACCAATTTTCATTCACATACGATTACACCTTCTATTTTTGGCCGCTGTTAATATGAACTCGCGACATAGGGTATCGTAGGCGGGTGATCTCCGAGGATTATATTCACACGATATTCTCGAATTGCTTTCTCAACTGTATCCGTGTGAATACGAATCAATCATGTTTGACAGTTCTGTTGATCTAGAGGTTCGCTTTTGTAGCTTTGAACATCGTGATCCCCCCGATGATGAAGATCCTTCCTGACTTGCCTAGGTGGTGGGAGCCGATCATTAAGGAGATGATTTGGATGGCTACTTCTATAAAACCCAAACAGGTATTGCATCGACAATATCTTTTTGTATTGACGCACAGTAAGGATCTTCGTCTCCTCATGTAAGTGGTCTGTTGGAGTCATGAGGAGACATTCTGGCAGGATTGAAAATTTTTATATTGCGATGCACTAACGTTGGCGAACCACACTGGAGCTGCATAGTTTACCACAGACCAGCCTATTGCTGTGTATGTTATTAACAAATCTCTAGACGACATTCTGACAAGTCAAAATATATCTCCATTGGTTGTATGAACTGGTTGGATAAAAATAGCGCCGCATTGCTGACCAAAGACCAACTTGCCAACGAGCCACTGTAAGACCTTCATAGCAGATAGTGGTAACTTGCGCGGAGGATTACATATGCTGTCGAGATTATTTTGCGTCCATCGACCTTCGCATTCAGTGGTATTCTCCTTTAAATATCCGTTGCCTTTGTGATACAGAATATTATGTCTCTGTGCTTATGTATGTAACATGCAACAGAAAACGATATTGACACATGGCTCCTTTTGAGAATTTGCATTTCTGGTCCGAATAAATTGAAATTTGGCATAGTTCATTAAAATGGCTCAAGGACGAACCCTATTTAAATCGGACAAAATCAGTTCAGGTTTGTTCGATTCCGGAGGCAACATTTTTAACACCGCACCGAATTGAGGATAGAATGATATGTACCACGTTTTATCAAAATCCGTTCAAGAAGCTACAACTACTTCCACATCTATTTTCGACCTACCATTCTCGGTTTCAAAAAAAAAAAATGTTATACACAACTATGTTGTCAGGGTATTATAGCTTTGTGCAACCCCAAGAGTTTGTAACACCGTGAAATATTGGTCCTAGGTGGGTCTAGGTATAAGTATACCGATCGTCATATCTCGACTAGCTGGGTCGATCTAGTTATGTGTGTCCGTCCGTCGGTCTATCCGTCTGTCCATTATAATTAGTAAACACGATACAAGCTGTAGTTATGGACCAATCGTCAGGACATTTTACATGTAGGATGGGCTGTGACCAAAGAAGATCGCTACTATTTTTGGTAATGATCCGGGATGATATGGACCAAAAACTTTACCTTTTGTCTGTTTTTCAGGTAGCTCTAGAGGCCACGAATGTTTTGATAAGGATCGGTCAATATTTAGTGGGTCAAATAAACCCAGACTTTTGTGTGAAAAATTGTAAAATATGCATTCTATGGCGTATATATTTTCTCCTGAAGGATATAGACCCCAGAAGTTGATAGTATGTACTAGAGGAGTGGTTGACCTTTAAATTAATATAAATATATTGTTGTATGTACTTGAATGTGGTACATACGGTCGGGTATCATATGGTCGGCCCCGTACGACTATACTGCTCCGCTCACTGGTTTTATTTAATTTGAACCAGTAGCTTCTCAAGAATGCCTCTTTAAAATATAAAGTGAAAATCTCAACAACTATTTAAGATATAGCCGATTTATTGTGTCAGCAAGAGTGATTCTCAAACATTAAATGCGTTTTTTAAACAGAGTTTTACGATTGGCGGACAATATAACTTTTAACACATTATTCGTATGAACTGGGATAAATCCAATCGGTGAAGATCTTATATATTTTCCTGCTTCGTTTTTGATTGAAAATAGGCGATTTTCCAAAAAAATTATTTTCCTAGATCCACCATTTTGGTAATTTTCACGCGAAGGGCCCCCCTCCCTCTGGCTACGTCGCTGATCTCCCATATATATTATTATGGAGCACCAAACTCCGAAACATAATGACGTACCTCATTGAGTCTAGAATGCCATGTGTTAAGTTTCAATAAACTCTATAATGAATTAAATTCAGATAATAGTTGCACATATATTTTCATCCGATTTCATCTAAGCCATGTAACCAAAAATTGTCCTATAGTAATGAAATATTGCACAGGATGGCTTAGTGTTTATACCCTACACAACTATGTTGTCAGGGTATTATAGCTTTGTGCAGCCCCAAGAGTTTGTAACGCCGCGAAATATTGGTCCTAGACCCACCTTTAAGTATACCGATCGTCATATCTCGACTAGCTGAGTCGATCTAGACATGTGTGTCCGTCCGTCTCCATTATAATTTGTAAACACGATACAGGCCACAGTTATGGACCAATCTTCACGAAATTTTGCATGTTTTAGCGGGTCAAATGGACCCTGACTTTTGTGTGAAAAATTACAAAATTTGTATTCTATAACGTATATATTTACCCCTGAAGGACATAGACCCGAAAAGTTTATATTATATCCAAGAGGAGAGGTTGACCTTTAAATTAATACCAATTATATTGTTGTATGTGCTCGGATTTGGGAGTTACACCTAAATATTTACAGTTATCTCCGTATTCGTATATTATTTAGTAACACATTATCACCCTAGAGAGCGGAACAATAGCGCTGATCGATTTGAAATGTTCCATGAGGTTCCAGTTATGGTCAAGGACAACCCCTATAATTTTCGGTGATGATCAGATAATAATTTTGGGATGAATTGGACCGAAAACTTAATTTTTTGTGTTATTTTCGAGTCGATCTATAGACCACAAATGAAAGCCGAACATTATAACACAACCCACGGCGAAAGGAATCTGTACAATAGCTGTACTGAATACTCGTAATATTCGGAAAATATGTCAGTGTGAGGAAGAGGTGCTGTTTACCTCTAATCGGGCAAGAGGATGCAAATATCACGAAATATTGCCCAGACTCGGAATAAATATCCGCAGAAAATGTGAGTTCCGTGTAGTTGTGTAGGGTATCGTATGGTCGGCCCCGTCCGACTATACTGCTCCGTTGACTGGTTTAAATTTCGTTTCAAACTGTTCATATTTACATATAGCTAATATATATTCGATTTCTTCAAATTATGCAACTAATTTAAAATGTTTGTTCGATTGGGTCGAAATATTGCACATCGTATCAAATTCTTTAAACCTTAAATCTACTTTATTATATTAATTAGCTTACACTCATCGCTTAAGATTTATTTTCATCGATTTTAAGCATCTTAAAAATATTATTATGATTTATTATTGTATGTTGTCAAATATCAATTACATCGAACGTTGACAAAAAGTGTATCATTCATTATAGCCATGTTAAGCAGCTTAGTGACCAACGCCTTGGGTTTTTTTTTAATTTTTTTTATTGTGGAGGGAGGTTTTGTACAGAACTTATACCGGTTAAAGCCTGTGACAGGTTTTGTGAAGTAATGTTTGGCCAAAGTCAACTTCGTGTTTGCTTTGACAGCTGACAACTGGTTATGTTGGTGGTTGGTTGTTTGGCTTGACTTGCACTTTCATTCGAGTCTCCAAAAAATGTTCTATTTACAGAATTATCTTTGTATTGTTGTTGCTGCTGCTATTGTTCCCTCTATTCTCAAAAATAGTTCATAGAATTTGTAATGACTTCATGTTGCTGGATATTGGGTGGAGCGATAATTTCATTGCCATATAAAAATAAGGGATTTGCTTGGCATTGAAACAGAATAGAATCTGCGTGCCAAACAGCAACACACAGTTTAGTTTTCTGCGATCTCCATTTGAAAAATCCCAACCTATAAAAAAATGAAAGTAAGTATTGGATTATCCTTAAAAAGGAATATAAAAATGTAAACTTAATTTTTTTTCGTAAATAGTTCGCTGCTGCCATCTTGTCCACCTTAGCCTTGGCTTTGGGTGTCCAATCATCATTGGTTCCTGGTGTTGTTACACAAGTTGCTGGTGGCGGTTTGTCATACACTGCTGTCTCCTCGCCAGTTGTTGCCGCTCCTTGGCACCTATATCCTCACGCTGCTGTCGCCGTTCATGCTGCCGCTCCAGCTGTTGCTGTACACGCTCCCGTCCCAGCCCCCGTTGTAGTTCCCGCCGTTCAAGGTTCTTATGTTGCCCAAACACGTGGTGCTGTACACACCGCTCCTTTGGCCGGTCATGCCAGCTCTGTTGCCAATGTCAACTTGGCCCCTGCCCCCGGCACTGTTTAAACGATTGATTGGCTTTGATTTATTGCTCGGTTTAGTCATGACTTTTGTTGCTGACGTGATTTCAAATGCAGGGTACCACCAACCATCCACAAAGTGTACATATTTTTTGATTAGCACACATTTCCATCTAGTTCATGTTTTAATTTTTAGTTCCATATCGTTTTCTATTATTATTATTTATGCACTTCATTTGTTTCACAATTCTAGGGACTTTGAATATTTTTTTATTTGGTAAATTCCGTTATAAATAAAGCAATTACTGTGAAAAGTAAAAAAAAACTGAAAAGAATTTGGTTTTATTTAATTATGTGAAAATTTAATACACACAAGTGATAGTTTACGTAAATATTAAATAAACTGAACTTCCACTAAAAATTTTATAGCGCGGCCTAATTGAATACCATTCAACTCCGACAATAAAAAAATATTCATCAAACTAGTAAGGAAAGTAGTAAAGTCGGACTTGGCCGACTATATAATGCCCTTCAACACTTTGGGAATATTCTACATTTGTATCGTAACAGACGCCGCCTTTTCATAGGAACATTAAAATGAAATTGAACGATCTTAAATATGTGATCTTTATATATACATATGCAAACCGACTAACATCAATCCCTACAAATGCCATTCTGCAACATATGCTAAATTTTGTAAATCGATTTAAAGCAAAGTATGCTGCACTGTTTAAAATTTAATCTCAATCAGACATCCATTGATTATTTGGTGCACAATTAACATGAATAGTTCGAAATTATATATGGAAGCTATACATATCTAAATCTGAATCGATTACAAGGAAACTTGTCAGAGAATAATTTATATTAACTTCAGTACGTATTGTCAATCGGCCTAGCTACAGGTCTTTAGTGCACAATTTACTTAACATATTAGGCTGGGGAAAAAGGAATCCATTTTTATACCCTTCACAACACTGTGGTACAGGGTATTATGTCTTTGTGCATATGTTTGTAACAGGCAAAAGAAAACGAGATAGACACATAGTTCCTTTGGAGAATATGCATCGAATCACTTTTTAAGTCGATGTATGCATGTCTGTCCGTCCGACTGTCTGTCCATGTTAAATTGTAAACAAAGTACAGGTCGCATTTATTATCCAAATTGGATTAAATTTGCATAAGTCACTTATTTGGCCCAAGGAGGAACCCTATTGAAATTGGGAAAAATCGGTCAAGATTTAGATATAACTCCCATATATATTTTCGTCCGATTTTATGTAAATGGTGTACCAAAGTCCCTACATATCCTTCGATGTACACGAAATTTGGCACAGCGTAATGAAATAGGTCCAGAATAATGTGTGTCAAGTTTTCTGAAAATCGAGCCAGATTTAGATATATTTTCGACCGATTTAATGTAAATTTGGCCCAAGCTACTGAATAAGATCTAGAATGATGTGTGTTAAGTTCCCTGAAAATCGGTCCACATTTATTTATAGCTCACATATATATTTTCGTCCGATTTAATGTAAATTGTGTACCAAAGACCCTATATATCTTTCGATTTGCATGAAATTTGGCATAGCGTAATGTAATAGATCTAGAATGATGTGTGTTAAGTTTCCTGAAAATCGATCCAGATTTAGATAAATGCTATACCAAGGTCTCTAAATATGTTTGGATTTGCACGAAATTTGGTATAGTGTACTGAATTAGGTATAGAATGATGTGTATTAAGTTTCGTGAAAACCGGTACAGATTTAGATATAGCTTCGATATATTTTTTCTGCCGATTTTATGTAAATTGTGCACTAAAGACCCAAAGTTTGTCCGATTGCCACACAATTTTGTACAATGAACTATAGTTAATATAAGTTAAACTCTGTCAAGTCTCATTGAAATCGGTTCAGATTTTGATATAGCTTCTACATATATATGTTCTTCCGATTTTACACATAATTTACTCAAATTTTGCACAACGTACTAAAGTTAGTACAACCTAGTAGTTGGATATAAGTGCTTCACTATGTACTGAAGTTACTATAACATAACGTGTGGCAAGTTTAGTTGAAATCGGTTTATATTTCGATATAGCTCCTACATGTAGTTTCGTCAAATTTTAAGTAAAAGGTACAACAAAGACCCAAAGTTAGGCCGTTTGCTACAAATTTTGGACAATGTAATGAATTTAGTATAGCGTACCATGTGCTAAATATTGTAAGATTCGGTTCAGATTTCGATATATATGAACTTATATATTATTACCTTAACCTGTGACAAATCGGTTTAGATTTCAATACAGCTTTTATATATATTTGCTTTAAATTGATTTACATAATTTTGTCCCATTGTAGGAAGCAATCCTATATCTGACCAAACGAAAAATTTAGTATAGGTTGCAGAATGATATATTTATGGATCTATTTTCATGTTAATGGTCTTTCAAAAATTTGACGTCTGTTAGGATTCATCTGTTGAATATACCCAAAGTGGTGAAGGGTATCATATAGTCGGCCCCGTCCAACTTTACTATTTTCCTTACTGGTTTTATATGAACTACAGCACATTATTTAATAAATCGGAATATCCGATTTTGGCCAAATATACACCGTTTTGTTGTCATTTTAAAAGTAACTTCATAATGCCTCTCTCATAGAAGTCTTTGTCTCTCTATTTGCAAAAAACTCTAGTAGTCGATTTTCAAAATCCTCCCTAGATACCAATTTTTATCATATTGTTGCAATGCAAGAAAAAAAAAAAAAAACAGTAAGGAAAGTAGTAAAGTCGGACTGGGCCGACTATATGGGTATATTCAACAGATGTATCCTAAGATGTATCCTATCGATGCACCAATTACATAAAACCGGACGAAAATATATATGGGAGCTACATTTAAATCTGAACCGATTTTCACGAAATTTAGATCACGTCATTCTAAACTTAATTCAGTACGCTATGACAAATTTCGTGCAAATGGAATGATTTTCAAAGACTTTGGTGCACCATTTACCTAAAATCGGGCGACTATATACATATATATATATATATATATATATGGGAGCTTTATATACATCTGAACCGATTTTCATGAAACTTGGCACACATTATTATAGACGCAATTCAGAACGCTATGCCAAATTTCGTGCAAATATATATAGGGTCTTAAAAGCAACAATTACCCTAGATGAAAATATATGTGGAATCTATATCCAAATTTGAACCGATTTCAACGAAACTTTTCACAGGTTGTGTTATACTAATTTCAGTACGTTTTGTTCTTTCAATCATATATTGGTTCCTTGGTATGTCAATTACTTAAAATCAATCGATCTATGCAATATTAGAACTTTGGTACATTATTTACATTAAATCTGACGGAAATATATATATATATATATATATATATCTTAATCTGAACCGATTTCCACCAAACTCAGCACACATCATTCCAGGAAACTTGGCATAAAGCACTCTAGGATCTATTAAGTACGTTATCCCAAATTTCGTGCAAATCGAAATATATATAGGGACTTTGGTGCATCACTTACATAAAATCGGACGAAACTATATATGGGAGCTATATCTAAATCTGGTCCGATTTTCACGAAACTTGGCAGACATCACTATAAGCTCAATTAAGTACGTTTTGCCAAATTTCTGGCAAATCGAAAGATATATAGGGACTTTGGTGCACCATTTACATAAAATCGGACGAAAATATATATGGGAGCTATATCCAAATCTGGACCGATTTTCAGGAAACTTGGCAGGCATTATTCCAGGCTTAATTCATTACGCTGTGCCAAATTTCGTGCAAATCGAACGATATATAGGGACTTTGGTGCACCATTTACCTTAAATCGGACGAAAATATATATGGGAGCTATATCTAAATCTGAACCGATTTTTCTCAATTTCAATAGGGTTCGTCCCTGGGCCAAATAAGTGAACTGTGCCAAATTTCATCCAAATCGGATCATAAATGCGACCTGTACTTTGTTCACAAAAATACATGGACGGACAGACGGACGGACGGACAGACGGACATGCGTAAATCGACTCAAAAAGTGATTCTATGCATATTCTCAAAAGTAACTATGGGTCTATCTCGATTCCTTTTGCCTGATACAAATATATGCACAAAGACATAATACCCTGTGTGGTGAAGGGTATAAAAAAGATGGTAATCTATTTGTGCGAAGTCCTGACTGTATGGCGGATGCATTAAAAATTCCCAACCAAGCTCCCGAAGTTTCTGGCGAGGCACTGTAGATGTGTGGCCTATATATATATATATTCTTTATTTAAAATTGAACCGATTTCAAGAAAACTTGACAAACGTAATATTATACTAACTTCAGTACATTGTACAAAATTATATGCCAATCGGCCAATCTTTGGGTCTATAGTGTACATTAAATCGGACGAAAATGCATATGGTAGTTATATCTAAATCGATGTTCCCGAAAGTAAACACACATCATTCTAGACTCAATTCAGTACTCTATGCCAAATTCCGTGCAAATCGAAAGATATGTACGGACTTTGTTGCACCATTTTCATTAAAACGAAAATATATATATATATATATATATATCTAATCACAATTGAATTTCTACATATTTCATTTGTGATGACATGCTTGTTTTAAGTCGGTATGTATATATTTCTGCAGGTTAGGATAATAATCTTAGGAACATCTTTGAATAGGCATTAAATAATCATATATTCGGCTCCTTTTCTTTTCTTTTCATATCTCCTTTACCTGACCTTATGATCTCTATCGTATTTCACTATATTGGAAGTTTCAATAAACAAATAATTTTCAGTACGGCTCCATTGGATAAGAATTCGTTGTGTAAACAATTGTCAAGTAAGTATAACCAATTATGTTGCGTATCCTGCTAACGGTCATTTAAATTGGCTGTATCTATTGCTAAAAATTGTGAATAACAGAGACGTTAATAAATAAAAATAAAACATTTTTAGTTGAGAAAATGTTAAGTTGCTATGTTCGGAGTAAATTATGATATGCATTGCAATGTAATAACATTATCGTCAGAACTCCTTCAATAACTTACTGGTATTGCTATGTCAGGGTAAACATGTAGTTGACCATTGCTACGGCCAATAGTTTCTTTTCTTTGCACCTCTGAACTTTGTCTCCGTGTGTGTAAAACCAGATTATGCAGGCGGCCAACAATAATTATAAACATGGACTTTCATTAAATGCAAGTGGTATGGGGTTGTAAACAGTTCCGGATTCTATACAATAAGGTAAACATAAAACAACAACAATTGTCAGCATATGACTTCAAAACGTTATTGTTCTTGTTGTGATTGTCATGTAAGTGTTGGGGTGGAGTGTTCCAATTTTCAATATAAAAATATGGAAATCGGTTGAATAGAATCAGAATAGAATCTGCGTTCCAGCAAGTAACACAGTTTAGTTTTCTGTCTAATTAAATAAATTACAAAGAAAAAAAATGAAAGTAAGTTTGACCACCGCCAACAACAACAACCACGAGGAACTATTTGTATGATTAACGTGTTGCCATTTAAATTCCAGTTCACAGTAGCTGCTTTGTTCACATTGGCCTTGGCTTTGGGTGTCCAATCGTCGGTTGTTCCCGTGCTCGCTGGTCATCATTTGTCCTACACTGCCGTTGGTCCATCTTGGGCTGGTCCTTGGGGTCATGGTGTAGTTGCTGCCGGACCACACCCATCCGTTGCTGTCCACGCTGCCACATTGTCAGCTCCAGCTCCTAGTGTTGCTGTACATGCTGCCACTTTGTCAGCTCCTGCCCCAAGCGTAGCTGTTCATGCTGCCACCTGGTCTGCCCCTGCCCCCAGTGTAGCTGTACATGCCGCCCCATTGCCCGCCCTGCATGCTGTCCACGCTCCAGTACATGGTGTTCACGCTCCTGTCCATGCTCCACTAGTTTTGCCCGCAGTTCAAGGTTCCTATATTGCCAAAACTCGTGGTGCTGTACATTCGGCTCCTTTGGCCGGTCATGCCAGCTCTGTAGCCAATGTTAACTTGGCTGCTGCCCCCGGAACTGTTTAAATGCAATGTTTAGAAAAAAAAAATAGGAAATCGAAATCAATCTGTAGGTAATCATTAGGTTTTGAAGCTGCGTACATTCACATTGTTCTAGTTCACCACCTTGTCATTTACATATTTATTTGCACTCTCTGACATTACAACTCCCTAACTTTCTTCTCTATCATCTCATCAGTTTTTCTAAATGAATAAAGCAATTACTGTGAAAAAGTAATTTTTGAATTTGTGTGTTATTATTTTATTCTTGGTATAATTGAGAGTAGTATTATTTTCAAATTCATTTTTCATGAAAAAGTGTAAAATGTTTAGTCCTTATTTCTTTCGTTAATAGCTTATTTATTGGCGATAGAGGTGAAGTGTTGCCATTGCCCTCAACTCTCAAACATACAAAACGTAAGCGACAGTTCGTCTTCGGACGGCTCACAAGAAAGACGCATTTAAAGAGTTAATCACACCTACGGGCTTAAAAAATTACAAAATGGCGCTGTGTTAAGTGTTCGCTTCACTTTACACGCGTTTTATCGACCTAACGAAAAATATAAGATAATCTCGTTCATATGGTGTATGGTCCTATACCTTCTATTCTAATAGAAAGTGGACTTGATGGAGGAGGATCTGCCTCCAGTTTTTTTTTTTAAAGAGATAAAAAACGTAAGCGAAGTTTCCCTTTCTTCGTGTGGGTAATGAGAATATATGTGTAGTTATTAAAATATTGTGATTGTGTTGGCATCTGGTGAAAGCTTGAATACAAATATAAATCGGGTCAAACAGAAAACCCATATAATATGTGTCGAATATTATTTGTAATGTAAGTGGATTCCGTTTTCTAAATATTTGTTACATAAAATAAAGATAACAATGAAGAGAACTCAGACTAAACATTAGATAATTACCGAAAAGATCTGAAAAGGGCAATCACCAAAGTCCCAAAATTACTTCTGTCGCACCCTTTTGAAAAATGGAAATATGCTATTGATAAAGGGAGTGAATGGCCTTGAGGATAAGAAAAGACTCCAGAATACTGTCGTTAGACGTATATAATCCGAATGAAGGAAACTGGAGAGCGCTGTTCCGATATAGAGTGGAGGGGGTGGAAAAATTAGAAAAAGTTTGGAGAGTACAGCTAAAGATACATCATATCTGAGTTCCAGAATACAGAACGAGTCAAAAGAAATTATCGATTACTGCCGTTAGACGTATATAATCCGAATGAAGAAATTTGGAGAGCGCTGTTCCAATATAGAGTATTTGGAGAGTACATCTAAAAATGCATCATACCTGAGTCCCAGAATCGTTAGAAGTAATAAGGGAAAATGTTTTGATTTAATTTGAATTTCTTTCTAATAAATAAAAAATGGATGATAGATGAAACCATTTTTTAGGTATTTTCTAAACAAATATGAACATATGAAATTATACTTCTGTTTTAGGCTGTTCTGATTCAGTAAATTTTCATCAAATAATTGTAAAATTCTATTTTATTAGGTGTATCAGTAACATCTATTTATAGAATATTTTTATAGAACTACATTAGGTGTCCCATATTTGGACGAACTAATTATAAATTTGACGAGCAGATTTCAGGAAAAAGAAAAATAGTTTAACAGCCTGTTTTTGTAAAATTCGAATAAAACCAATTCGAACGAATTACTACCAAACCTTTATTTATATAAAAAATGTTTTTTGATTCTAAACAAAAATAAATGACATATTTTTCAAAAAAAAGGAGTTTGGTCGTAAGTCTCTCGAATTCGTTCGTTTAGAATTTTACAAAAACAGTCTGTAAACATTGTCAAATGTAGTGCCATCAAGAATTATTAAATGTTCATATATTACATATTTGCTGTTTATATTATTAGCATTCCTCGCATCCACCTTTATTTTAAATGACTTTTTATACCCTTCACCACACTGTGGTACAGGGTATTATGTCTTTGTGCATATGTTTGTAACAGGCAAAAGGAAACGAGATAGACACATGGTTCCTTTTGAGAATATGCATAGAATCACTTTCTGAGTCGATATACGTATGTCCGTCTGTCCGTCCGTCCATGTATTTTTGTGAACAAAGTACAGGTCGCATTTATGATCAGATTTGGAGGAAATTTGGCATAGGTAACTTATTTGGCAGACGGACGAACCCTATTGAAATTGGAAAAAAATCGGTTCAGATTTAGATATAGCTCCCATATATATTTTCGTCCGATTAGGCCTAGAATGATGTGTGCTGAGTTTCATGAATATCGGTTCAGATTTAGATATAGCTCCCATATATAGTCTCGTCCGATTGTAAGTAAATGGTGCACCAAAGTCCCTATATATCTTTCGATTTGCACGAAATTTAACATATTGTATTCAATTAAGTCTGGAATGATGTGTGCTGAGTTTCATGAATATCGGTTCAGATTTAGATATAGCTCCCATATATAGTCTCGTCCGATTGTAAGTAAATGGTGCACCAAAGTCCCTATATATCTTTCGATTTGCACGAAATTTAACATATCGTATTCAATTAAGTCTGGAATGATGTGTGCTAAGTTTCGTGAAAATCGGTTCAGATTTAGATATAGCTCCCATATATAGTTTCGTCCGATTTTACGTAAATGATGTACCAAAGTCCCTATATATCATTCGATTTGCACGGAATTTGGCAGAGCGTTCTGTATTAAGTGCAGAATTATGTGTGCTAAGTTTCCTGAAAATCGATTCAGATTTAGATATATCTCCCACATGTATTTTCGACCAATTTAATGTAAATGGTGTACCAAAGTCCCTTAATATCTCTTTCGGTTTGCACGAAATTTGCCAAGTGAAAAAATTAGTATAGGTTGCAGAATGACATGTTTATGAATTCAATTTCATTTTTCTGGTCCTTTAAAAATGCAACGTCTGTTAGGATTCATCTGTTGAATATACCCAAATTTGACTTTTAATTTAGAATTATTTCATACCAATGCGCTGTTTTAAGAGCCCGAATATATTTGCTAAGGTATTCAAGTCCAATTACTGCTTAAGCGAGTCAACCAATTTATTTCTATTGTTTGGGCTGCTGAAAATCCATATAAGAAGCATATTTTCTTCTTTTTGTATCGTGCAATATGCTTTTTATTCGAAATGGGTCCCTGTAATATTGTATGAAGACCACACCAGGAAAATCAGCTTCACAGTTGAGATGTATAGGATATCTATTTTTGTGAGAATTTTTGAAACTCTGTCTTTAAATTTCAAAACATGTACCTGCATCCAGGAGGTCCAAATAGTATTTAAAACACTATATTATATATGGGAAATTCAAAAATCTTTTAAATTCGTTGAAACTGAGGTTTGCAAGGTTATAACTCGCGAAATATGAACATATTGCATGTAATTTAAATTCATTTCTATAAAATGAAGTGTTCTTGTCAAAATCTTAAAATATTGGTAATAAATAATAAGTTTGGTGGAAGCTGTGATGGTGGTAATGTAAAAAAATGGATGAAAATGTGTTGAAGCCAACGAGTTTTTTTGTGTTCCTTCCTGATTTGTGGCTAAACTACACAACGCATGCATATGTATGATTTTTCGATATAATGTATGATTTTTCGATATAATCACTGCAACCACCCAAAAAGGATGCTGTCGGATTTTCGGTGCTTTTTGAATTTTTTTATAATTAGGATGCGCATCCAGATAATAGACTAAACTGATTATAGGAGTGTAGAACTCGTGATTTTGCTTCGTTTAGTTTATGTCTCATGAATGTGCTCACCGTAGCTTCTTTGTAATTGGGTTCCAAAGACGAACATTTGGTGCGTAAATTTTTATAAAAACCGTATTTTTTGAGTCTAAAATTAAGAAAGTCCATTCAAATTCCGTGGAACCCCGCGTGATTTTAGTTTTTTTTTACGTGCCGGATCTAATGAGCCCATACATGTTCAATTCCGCGTATATAATCGCGTTTTTCTTCGAATTGGTTTCACATATCATATTCGCGAATCTGTGTGAAAATAGGTCAAAAATATATCGATACGCGAATAATATGCGTATTTTATCCAAAATCGATTGTGGAGGCACATCCGCGGTTCTTAACCGATTCTTGTAAAATATGTGTCCTTTTGTGTATTTTCATAGGAGATTACTGAAATCGGATGCGCATAAAAATCGTATGCACGTTGCGTGATTTTTAGCCATTTTTAAGATTCTTGCATAGTAAAGTGCATCGAGCGGCACACTTTGACCGCTATATTAAACATAGAAAAATTCATAATTATTGAAAGACATTGATTCGGTTTATACGAAAACCGCATGCGCATCAACTGATTTCAACTAATACGCGAATTGCATGCTTTTAAATATTGATATTTTTTATGTATTGTAACTTCAATATATTTAGTCATGTTTACAGTCGAAACTGTTATCAGATGAATATACCGATATTTAACAATCATCTAAAAGAATTTGAAAAAAAGCGTCGCATATTTTAGAAGATTAAGACTAAAACCAGTGAGCAAGCAGTATAGTTGGAGGGAGCCGACCATATGATACCCTACACAACTTCCACGAAAATCTAACTTTGTGTAGTTCTATATTCTGAGCTTGGGCAATATTTCGCGGTATTTTCAACCTCTTGACCGACTAGAGGTTAAAAAATATTACTAATATTCAGTTCACCCCTTCTAATTACTTGTCCAGATTCCCTTCACCATGGGTTGTGTTGTGATGTTCGGCTTTCAATCGACTCGAAAAAATATAAACAAATTAAGTTTTCGGTCCAGTTCATCCCAAAATTATTATCTGATCATAATTGAAAATTATAGGCGTTGTCCTTGGCCATGCCTGGATCCTCATAGAAAATTTCAAAGCGATCAGCGCTATAACTCCGCCCTCTGGTGGAGTAATGGGTTACTAAATAAAGTCTGAATATGTAAGCACACGTAAATATTTAAGTGTAACTCCCACATCCTAGTACATACTACAATATAATTGGCATCAATATAAAGGTCAGCAACTCCTCTTGGATATGC